GATGGAAATATGCAAAAATTAGTTAGAGTGAATAAGACAGTGTTCGTCACTGCTCTGTCTTTACCTTGCTGCTGTATCGCACTTCACGCTTGCAATTGTTTCGAGATTTTAAGACGTAAATTTGAAACAAATTCGGAGACTTTCGAAACTTGAACGGCAATATCAACGACACTGAGAAAATTTCGCAGAAATTACTTAAATCTTTGAACACTCGCCTCTAAAAACAGGGAATAGTGATTCACCTGCAGATAAATCGTGTGAGATTTGTATCAATCCGTCTTTCGGCGATCTTTGTGTTGCAACCGAAGTGGTACACAACAAATATGTTAAGGAAGTTACTGCCCGAGTTCGAGGTGAATTGTACATGTTCTTATCAAGGAAATGAACGACTTTTACTTACATCACAGTTTATAATCTGAGAACTCTACCTTCAATACTTCTCGTTGAAACGCTCCTCAGTTTTGTTACTCCGTCGATAGCATTGTGTATTAGTTTGACGTGGTTTTATTATTAACACCAACGCTGGCAACAGAATAAGAACGCACTCTTCCTTGACTCGACGTGACTATTTGATAATTAGATTAGTTGTTTGTCGGTAAAATGAAAATTTGCGTTTTGATTAAAACAAAATCGTTCCTCTTCAACTTTTCAGCAGATATTTAGCTTTTATTTTCCATTTATCTCCAGCAGTGAGTGAAAAAATACACATCTTTCTTATATTTTCGTGCAAACAAAGGTACTTTGTGGCACACATTGGCGAGAAAACAAAAGTATCAAGTTACAAACGTTGGCGTGAAAAGTGCAATTGTCACATTTGCTGCAATGACTTTCAAAATCGTCTTGACAAACGGTAATTGTAAGTTATTTTTGGGCCTTGAAAGAAAACACAAACATGAAACATACGTACTGCTAAGATGATGTCTTATCAAGTTTTTGTCCGCTCATATTCCGTTCATATTAGTTGACTACCAAGGGAGAAACGGCATGGGTGGACCTATGTGACTACTGTATCAAAGTCGTAAATTATACTCTGCACTATCTGAGATTGTCTTACTAGTTAAAACGTTTTACATACCCTCAAGTTATCTCTCCAAATTGCATAACGAGCCTCTTCTTCGGTGTCTGTCTCGTATTTCTTGTCATGTAAAGTTTTCCAAGCCTGCCACTGTTCCTTGTATCCATCAAACTTCAGAAAAGCGCAGCTTGCAACGGATAAGCAAAGCACAAATGCGATAACACCTTTCATTTTGACGAAGAGTAACTTCTTTCCTACCCCACGTGCACCGAACCACGATAACCATTGAAAATGCTGATAACTCGGAATGCTGGTAGTTTATTAACACCGAGAAGTTACAAGTCACTAGATCGAAACAACCAATTCTCAGCTCGAACTTTAAGCGCGCTGGAGCCTCAGAATCTAAGCTCAAACCTATTGTGGAATGAGGAACAAAGATAACAATTTTAAACACGAAAATAAAATAAAATAAGATAAACCCATACTTCATTATTCAAATCGTTTCCCGACAGAAAGGCTGGATTCAGCGCAAGGCCCTTTAAGCATCCCAATAAATATTTCTCAATAATGAATGATGCAGAGGTACCACTTTTATTCCACGAGTTGTGAAATCGTTTAATTAAGGCTGTGCATTGGTATTCGGGTATTCTCTAGGAACGCACTAACGAACAAGATCAATATTTACCAAGATATTCGGTTCTAGCTACACGGCAGTTTCGAGAAAGGTTGTGTAAAAGCGTACGCTACAATGTGGTAAGGTGTTATGGGTTATTCTGTTCAAGATTGCTTGATTGAAGCTCAAGGTGTTAATTAATAGGAAAGAGTGCTAACACGTGTATTCAGACTTTGGGTTCTTTCTTCTTGCTGAAGGAAGCAACGCCAACACGCGCTAGTGCTCACATTTTCTCCTTCGTTCTTGCTAAAACAACGTCAACCCATAAGACCAATTAAAATGGCAGGGAGGGGGGTCCTTCTTTATTGGCCGTGAATTTGTTGCTAAGGAAGGTTTCTAACCGTCATATTTTGAAAACCAGACCTCCTAAGGATAAGTTTTTTGCACAGGTTTGTTCCATTGAAGACTCCTGCAAAAGTTTCAAATCACGGCCATATTTAACCAGTCAAGTAACCAGAATAGAAAGGCATCTAAATCCGAAAATGTAAATCAGCGTCAATAATTATGAACGTCCACGTGCTTCATGCTACGTAAGGGTCTTACGAAACTCGTATTATCTGATAAAAGTTTGGAGGTAATAAACACCACATTAACAGACTTTTACAGTAGCTTTCCTCTTTTAGGTATAAACAATAGGGCCTTACCTACCATTATAAAGAAGGCCAATTTATTTGTGGTTCATGAGAAAAATTGGAACTCTTTCCCTTTTCTTTCAAATTTTAGGGATTTAATAAATTCTAACGCGCGGTTTGGGACTAGCACTATGGTTACGCACTCGAAATCACATCTTTTTTGATTTAGCACTTCAAAACTCTCCAAAATAGCTTTCCTCTAAATATCGCCTTCAGCAGCAATCCCTTACCAACTGCTCTAAATATGTAGTTAAGAAGGACCCCGCTTAATAGCAGTGGCTATATACCCTGCAGCAAAAGCTCATTACCCTGCCAGCAGTGGGAAATTTTCACAGCTTTTCACGGCAGGTGTTACTGAAACCTCTTGAGAGTATTCTGTGTTTGTTTGGAAATGCCAAACGTTTCGAAAAGTCAGTTTTGTTTTCAAGTTGACCAATTTTCCGACGGTTTCATATTTTTGACGGTATGACAGTGAAAACCAGCGATATGATATGTTGTTTTCGAAATGAATTTTCGCTATTTAAAGAAACATTGTTCTCTCCTCGGGTGACAAGCATTAGGGCCTCACATGATCCGCATCGTGGTGCATCTGGTGTAGAGAACGTCACACCGCAATGAACATGCTAGCCTCTACACAGAACATTCCCAAGCTAAGCTAACGCACGATAATGGCAAAATACCGGTTGAACGGCCAACGTGCGAGAAAACAGCCAGTTAACCAGACCATGTTACACCAGAAGGCTGGAATGATCCAGAACTTATGTTTTATTCAATGATTCTCAGCCGCTGAGGCAACATAATGCAAGTTTTTGACGATTAAATAACTTTGAAATCAAAATCTCACGGGAAGAGTTCAGATCCAAACGAATAAACCAAAAGTCTCAGGACGCGACAGATCATCAGAGTTTCACAGATATGTACGCTTTTAAGCAGTTTCGAAAATGAAGCCGACAAAAATAAAGCCTTGAACGAAACCAAAAATTCCCACATATTACCACAGGCAGCCCAATCTAATTGTACATCCTTTCACAGTTCAACGCTCTTTAAATTTTTGCATTTGTTCCGTTGTTGATGTTGTTGTTGTTTTGGTTCCGTTTTCAGGATAAACTTGTTCAAGACACCACGAATACCACGATTTTAGTGATTTTAACTTCGGACAGAAAAAGTGCCCGAAAATAAAACCGTCCGAAATTTGTAGACATACGAAATTTTAAGAGTCCGAAATATTTACGGAATAGTGCATGTAAAACTTTGAAGTAGCTCCAAAGCTCCTAGTCTCGTTTATGCTGGGTTTTATGGAGCAGCCTCTATTTGAGACACTACTTGACATACATAACGGCTTAATAGAATTTGTGTTATTTTCTTATCGGTGTATTCTCAAATCCTTGAGCCTGCAGTAAAACTATCATTGTCACAGATGTTATTTCAGTGTAATTCGTGTTTTGTAGGCGTAAATTCACTTTAACTATGTTTCAGCACAGTGTCCGAAATAAAATAAAAAGTGTCCCAAAATGAGCCGTCCCAAATTTCTTGCAAGCAATTAATAAAATGCTTCCAGACACCAAGTGACTTTTTGCACTCGGGTACCCTATCTCAGTCGACTACAACCAGAGATGCTGACAGGTATTTTATTGCAAATGATTTAAAAACAATTCTTTCATATAAACAAAAAAATTCATCTTATATCCTCGGTATACAACGTATGTCTGGATTTACGAAAAAGGAGAAGGGTATGAGAATTTCAGTTTTTCGCCGCAACTCGCGCCAAAAACATATTTTTCATAAATCTAGTCATACATATAAATATAAAAGCTTAGTTTATTGGAGTTAGCGCTTTCGTCGCTTTGGTAAAATTTTGACTGAAATAATCCACCAAACGTGGAACAAAAATTTCTACTTAACAACAAATAGTTTTCTGCCGTGCAATGTTCTGAAAAATTAAGTTATTCGTCGAAACGTATCCACCTCAGCGGTCCGTATTACAAAATTCGGACCGCTCAGTCAGCCAATTAGCATTCTTCCCTTCATCGTAAACTAGGTTGTCTTGCCAGGATCAAACAAGCGGATAGCTAGCAAGTGTAGCGATTCCACACTGGTTGTCCTTGTTTCTTGACATCATGATGTAACCTTCCATTCCCCACCTGGTCCCCCAGGAGTTCTTCACTAGCCAGTAGTCTTTGTCTTGATAGGTTCCATAGCCAACGACCAGAACACCATGATCAAGATATTCGCTGCTGCAAGATCTGTAGTAAAGTAACAAATGCCGTTAAAGTGCTGCTACGACGAAAATCTCATCTTTCTTATCTAAGCAATTTTAAAACATAAACAAGTAGCCTGTACGAGAAGAAAAATGCTGTTTACAATTTTCAAATATCTCTTTTCGTTCCAGAGATATTCAAGTTTTTAAAATATTCAAAATAGCCAAGTGATGACGTCATAAACTCAACCGAATTTTGATCAAATATGATGAACAAAAATATCTCAGCTAATTTGAAACAGAAATGTTTGATTCTTTGCAGTAATATGAGGCTAACAGCTTTGTCACCATGGTAACATACTGGGTTCCAGACCTCCCCAATATTAGAGGCTTTTCTGGCCACCTTAAACGTTTCACACTGAAATTTAACATGTACCGCGTTACTATCGAATTTTTGTATAAATCTATTAGCGTTCTATCACGAATGCCGTTCTGTAAGTGGCCACGCTACTCACTATCTATTCTGTTTTAGATAGTGAGAAGCTTAGCACCGTGCGCTGGGGGCTGTGGAAACACTCGCCGACAGGCGAAAGACGGAGTAGTCGTAGTCTACAAGGAGGCTGGTCAGCGTGACAAAGATTGCTGCGGAAATTACTCACGGTTCATCGTAGACTCCACTGGAATAGAACCGAAACGATTTAACGCTGGCGTCAATGGCGACGGAGATTGGTCCCACTGTGGCGGTGGCCGAGTGAAGGGTCGTTTCGTTTCTTTTAGGAATGTCAACGTACCCTGGAAAGGTGATGTGATAACAATCCATACATCATCTCCGTACTCAATAGATTTCTCATGGTATCAGCTGCCTTGCCCACGACAGCAGTACCCGTAGTTCGAGCGGCGGTAACAACCTTACTGTCCAACCGAAACGACAGCAATAAAAGTCTTATGAAACAACAATAAACTAACAATAAATACAAAGCTTGCAACTGTTTTGGCCTCGTGTACACTTAACCCTAGAGCCCTGAGTTTGATCTGTATAGGTATTAAATCAAATGATTTTCAGTGTAAATCGGAATAAATAAGCCCAAGTAATTTTTCAAAGACTGAATTATATTTAAACGAGCCCATATGGCGAGTGCAATTTGTAGTCTTTGAAAAATTAACGACTTCAGCAATCGAACGAAATCGAACACCAAACTTTGTGTGAAGTTGATTCCCGAATCAGCAAAACTCAATCGAACAAATCAGCGCCTGAAACCATATCTCCGGCTCACGTGTTATGCGCAAGTAACTCGAGCCTCCAGAAACTTGGTTTTGATTTTCAACAGGACCACGACGGCCAAGACAGGTTTTGAAAAAAATCAAGAGTTCGGAAATCAAACGTTCGATTGAGTTCGATTGTCCAATTTTACTATGCTGGGCTTGTTCGATCTGCCCCGATAAGTCTTGACATCAGAATGGAGACCTGCGTAAAACATTCACCACAATTCTTTGCTTGGTGTTTTAGAATTTCCTTTTTCCGCGCAAGAACGCTAAATCCTACTCCGGGGGGGGGGGGGAGTACTCCCTTACACGGGCTATACAGGTACTTGCGGCTCCAAAGGGTATATGGTTTTTCTCAGCCGTTTTATTCATAAATAGGTTATTGATTTTGGCCCTTTTGGTCATAACTAGGATAGGGTTTTTGCTCTCTAGTCTTGAATTGGATATGTTGTTTAGAAGTACCTTGTGGCACTAAATTTTTGCGGGAGTTCATTTTTGCGAATCGGCAATTTTTTGTAGTTTGCGGGAACTGGTTTTCTTGCTGAGCACTAATTTTTGCGATTTCGGGAAGTCGTCTTTCATTGAAATTACAACATTTTCGCATTTTTTAATTAAACTGCATGTAATTGACAATAATGCAGTAATTAGTGTCTCTTTACTACAGTAACATCGTGTTCTTGTGTGGCTGATTGCTCCGGCAATTGACCAGTAATAACATTTCATCGTTTTGTTTCTGAATGAAAGAGACGTTTAAAAAAAATGAATAGTAGCAACAAGATTCTTCATGTGATGTCTCTGTGTATAATTTCGCCAGTGGAGTCGGGAACTATTTTTTGCGGATCGCAAAAATTATAACCCGCAAATATAGTGCCACACGTTAGCTACTTTTTCATCATTAATGATAAGACCATCGACAAAAGCCCTTCACAGTACCTTCAGGTTTCAACATCGGTGTGAACTAGATAACTTTTTATAAAGCCGGTCTCAAGTGAAACAGGGTATTGATTAAATGATCTTGTCATAACTAGGATATTCAAATTATGGTCAGGTCATAAATAGGGTAGGGAAAATCGCACAGTTTGGTCATAAATAGGGTAAGGGTTTTGGGAAGCGGGCCGCTCACCACCATACAATTTTTCTGAGAGTATTCCCCGGGATTCTGTTTCAGTGTCTGTTACCTGTCATGGTGGCCCCAACATTTCTTCGTTGAAATCGACATGGGTTGTCTTTAGCCACATACGGGTAACTGGCCTCCGTGTCGACTCCATGATTTCCTATGATGTAGTCAAACGCCCTATCCATGAATCCACCCTGACAGCCTAAATTTCCAGATGTTCTGGAGCAATCGACCAGATTCTGTTCACTGAGGGAGACGAGTTTTCCTGTTTTCTTGAAGTGCTGTCCTTCCAGTGATCCGGTCGCGCTGAACGCCCAGCAAGAACCGCAATGGCCTGTATGGTAGGACAGAATTTTTGTCAACAATTTTTTTCAGTAATTTATAAAAGATAATACAAATATCAAACGGTTCTAAAAAAACACTGACAAGAATCATTCATAACAGTACGTTTCCATAAAGGAAACCGCGATCAGCAACATAATCTTGCTACGAAAGGAAATGCTTGATTATCGTCTGGGTTTTACCGGCTAGGATGAGAGCATGAAGAGTTAATAAGTAAATCCCTTATATAGGCATTATTCTCAAGCCAATCCCTCTAAAGCTATTTTTAGATCACTCCTGGTTTCAGATATTCCAGTAGCGTCCAGAATAACCAATCCTGTGAGGGAACGTTTGGTCACGTGGGCAGCCTAAGATGCTTAACACAAATTTTTATCATCCACGCAAATGTTTTCTTAAGGCCCGTTTACACAGGCGATTTTTGTCGAGGCAACTCGATGCAATTTTTGTCGCGCTAAAGTTGCAACTTCAAAATCGCACGTGCGATTTTCAGGTGCGATTTTCAGTGCGATTAGTCGCCGCGATATCGCCGGGGTTTCGAACATGTCTGAAACTTGATGCAACTTAAGCGCGACAAAAATTGCATCGAGTTGTCGCGGCAAAAATCGCCCGTGTAAACGGGCCTTTAGAGATCACGCACTTAACAGCATCATCCGTCGGAGAACTGCATGGGCACCATTTTCATCAAAAATAAAAGGCGTAACCATTTAATAAATAAATAAAGAATCCGGGATATGATAGGTAATTGATATATAAATATCCTCACCAAGATTCAGGTCTGTGTGGTTTTTCATTCGTGTATTATTCAGAGAAGTCCTTGAGTCGAATTTATAGAGCTTTCATGGAGATACCATGTTGGTGCCCCTCGGAGGGGCTCCAACATGGCGGCTCGTAAAGTGAACGAAACATCTGTACGTTATTGAGTTTTGCTATTTAAGTGAAAAGTTCTATAACTCTAGAGCTTGAAGACATTAAAATTAATACTACTTCTAGTACAAGAACTGTTCAGTAAGTAACAACTTAAGCGGTGACTCATCTTTTGACTTACGCGATTGCCTTCTCGTGCGGCCATTTTATGTCACGCAACGCAGAAGCTTGGAAATTCAAACGTGCTCTACTACAAAACGAAGAACCCTATCGAGTTTCAACGTTGTAAAAGGTCACGTTCTTAGAGAGTCTTATATCTGATGAAACTAAAACCTCAGAAGAAAAGGTAATTTCTAATTTTGGAATATGATAGCGTCACATGAAAACCGGATCATAGCTCTTACTCCTCGTGCTCTTCTTATTATAATTACGTGACTTGTGAAATCATATCACGAGAAAGAACAGAGAAATCGATCACCTTGATCTTTGACTTCTGTGACATATCCCTCCTTTCTCCAGTCAACTTCAGTTGGCAAACTCACGTGCCCAGGCTCCAGGTACGCCGAGCCGCTTCTCTTGGTCTCGCTGGAAAAGCGGTACAGGTACAGTGGTCGCAGGTACAGGAAGCTGAATTCATTTTGAGTGAGGTCTCCAAAGTGGTTCATGGCCAGCCGATATGAGCGACCTTGGGAGTTGTGTTCGTTGATTGTCTAGTATG